AATACAAACTTTTTTTAACTGCCGTTCTTCTGAGGCTACACATGGCACATTCTAAAAACACGAACGTAATACCAGTGCACTAATCTGATTTGAGGCATCAATTGCAGCCGGAGCGGCGGCAGAACAAAGTCTTCTGGTCATGACAGGGGAGCTTGGCTGAGCTTCCCTTCCCTGGGGACTAGGTCTCTGTAGTCTTGCCTCCAGCACTGCAGGAAAAGAGGCTTCCTCACAGCCTTTGGGCCTTGTTGCCCATCCTCTCTGCTGCACTGCAGGGACTGGATCAGTTTTGACTTTATACAATAAGAAAAATCTGGGCAGTGGAGCCAAGCACCTCTCATTTAGAAAACCCACACTCCACAGGGTGTCATGCGTATGGTTTTGCAGCATTATCCATTTGTTGTCACCTTCTTTTTCCACCAAAACCTTCCTGTAGCCACATGGGTTGACGAGTAGCATTGGGGCAGCAATAGTCACCTGCTGTGGGGAGCTGGGAGAGGTTGGCTGCCACCTGGTTGTGGGTCACAGGGTTCAGCTTTCCTGTGGCTTAGCAGCCAAAAAAAGAAGTAAGAATTGAAATTCAGAGTGGAAGTGACAGGTTCATTTCACACCCACTTTGGCTGAATGCTGAAAATGTGTAACGGCTGCTACTCAGGTTGTACTTCTTTAAGTGGTTGTCACACTGATCAGACAGGTTTAATCTGTATATTAGATGAGAAATTATCTTGCAGCTTAGGCTTGAAGGCTAGGAAAATGAATTTTAATTTGAGGGAAATGGATCTTACTTCCTGTTGATCTCACCAGATGTTTCCAGGTTTACAATATATTAACAGAAAGAATATGTGGAATACAAAATAAAGTGGAGTCTTCCATACTGCAGCTTCTATGAGACTGGAAGGTGACATTAGGATAACTGTTAAATTTATGTTCCATCTGGAAGTAAGACAGGAAGGGATCTTAAAAGAATAAAAATTGTATTACTGACCTGGCATGAACTTTTGTGGTCTGTAAAGCAATCAGGGGAAAAAAATCTGATTCCAAAATGCATAAAGAATTGTTATGAAGATATGTCACTGTTTAATTTTCACTAATATGCATTCCTAATTTAAACAGCTGACAGTGAAGCAGTTCCATTTTATATATACTCCAAATTTTTGTAGGAGTTACAAGAGGGGAGGAGGTTTCTATGTTAAGCTACCAATAAATTTGTTTCCAAAATAAGGAAAATAAGTCTCAAGACCGTGACGTATCTTCATGTAGGATAAGGTTGAGAATTAGCTGTAGTTCATCTGTATTTGTATCTTTATTGATTTCTTAGCAAGTTTTGTGTAGGAATATATTCCCTCTATTTTTTTTTTTTCTACCTTGGAATGGGCAAGTAGAAATAGTTATACAACACCTTCTCAAAATGTGGTAAAAATATAATACCATTTATGTCAGTGGCATCAGTTCAGGGTGTTTCTCAAATTTACCATTTTGAAAAAAAAAAAAAAGATCATTACCTGTTTACGTCACTTTTTGCTATTTAGAGGGTTTGTAAATGTTTATGTTTAGCAAAACTTATATGCAAATGAAAAAGAAGCTGGAAAGTGTGGAGGTGAGGTTTTTTGAACTCTGGGGAAAGGTGAAAAATTTTGAGATGGTTTGGTATCGGTGAACATTTGAAGCATTGTGAGTCACATCATTTTTTTTTATCACATCAAACTTTGTATTTGTATGGCCTGATGATTGCTAAAAAATTCATAGAAAACTTGTGTAAATTGAAGTGCCTGTAACTGATAGTAGAATCAACATAGAAACAGAAAATAGCTTGAGTTGGAAGGGACCTTAACAACCATGCAGTTCCATCTCCCTGCCATGGACAGGGCTGGCACCCACTAGATCACTCTGCCCAGGGCCATGTCCCATGTTTCATGATACCCTAGACGTTATCATTTATTTCTCTAATGCTTTAATTATAATGCTGTTTCAAATGTATACATATTATACATATTCAAATATATATATTTATGGGCTTATTTTGTACGTGCATTTATAGGTGCAAATATTTGCATGCTGCTGTCTCTGAGAAGCTTGGGTGGGACAGTTCTGTTGTGCTTTGTGTTGTTAGGTATGTTATGATGTAGGTGTTTTTTGCTCTCATGCATAGCACATTATTCCAGTTCTTTTCAGTATGCTAAGTATTTGTAGTAGATCTCAGTGACTTTATCTGAGGGAGGTCAGCCATGCTTGTTTGCAAACTGAGAGCATCAAAAGTCCCTAGGGATTTTTCATGTTGCCGCCTTCTCATACTCCAGCTGAGGTTTCTTAGAGGATCAACCTTTTGACTTTTAAGATCTTCTGGATAGCCACCTCCTAGAAATCAGCACCCTTAAGAAAATCTTACTTTGAGATTCTCATTATGAAAGTTTCTGAGGTCACAATTTACTCACGCAATCTGATTTATGTTGTACTAATCCAAAGTAATGTTTTGCTTCTAATTCCCTGCCTGACCAAAATGTTAATGACCAAGCTTCGGCCCATTTTCTTTTATCAAGTAGAGCAAATCTGTCTTCACCATCCCTTGAAAGACTCTGGTGCTTTCCCAGGACAGGCAGTGCCAAATGTGACTGCAGCTCTGGGAGGATGTTGTCCTGTGATAGAGGGCAGGTTGTGTCCGGACGGAGCAGGTACATTTTTGGTATGTGCGAGCATCGCCATCATCCCATGTGCAGTGGGAGCTTTCAGCAGCTGAGGGGGAGAAAAAAGTGCTGAAGAACTTAGAGAAAAGAAAGGGGTTAAAAACAAGTGTGAAAAGTTAGATCGTAGCACTTCGTGTCTTGAAATGAAGGAAGATTTTTCTGGAAGGCTTTAGTCACCTGGGAAGGAAGGATCGGGTAGCTGTGTGGGAGGCAATTTGCAGGCAAGTGTACTCCTCTGCAGTTGATCGGTACATTTAATGATGTAAGTATATTTGCTCTGTTTTATAGGATTTGCTTTGGACTGGAACTCTGGAAGTCATTTTAGATAGACTGCTTTGAGATATAATGGTCAGGGGGAAATATTTGAAGCATATCATATGGAAGCTGTGTATTTGCAACGTGTTTGTAGGGTTTTAGAAGCAGAGTTATTTTTAGCAGAAAATTGTCTCTTCTTCAGAAGAGATTTTTATTGTAAATTAAGGTCATGCAAAGGATGTAAAAAAAAACAGATGTGAAGTTAGAAACTGCCATAGCTGTTTAATTTTGTTCTTCTACTTAATGTATTTATTCACATCTACAGCCATCTCTCAGTCCATGCCATACCATAGGAAAGGAAGTTTTCACGCTAGCATCCTTGATCTCTTCTCATCTCCATCCTGTAGGCTGCCAGAGGCTGAATGGAACCATTTTTTAAATGCAGAAGTATTCCCCTCAGGAATGGGAACTCCCACATGCTGGTGGATGGGAAGACAGGGAAGGGCCAGGCTGTGCTCAGGTCCTTTCAGGGGAACAGGCTGTAGTTACCTCACATGGACCGTTCCACACAGTAGGACAGACAAGTCCTTTTGCCTTGGGACCAGTGTTACTTGGTCAGGGCAATTTCTTTCACACAAAAAGGAATTGCCTGTGTTTAGACAGAGATGCCAGCAAGCGAATGCATTCGGTTGATGGGCTAAATAACAAAGAAGAGTGGAAGAGTTTCCCATTTTCTGGAATTTCTCATTTTGACTTTGCTCCTTTCGCTTTTCCAGATCTTTTTTTTTGTTGTTGTTGTTTCTTCCAGCAGTGTTATCTATTACATTTGTCCATTTTGTCCTACTTATTTGGTTTGCTAACTTGTCCTTTCTCGGGCTTGTTTTTGCATTCTTTCTACTGTAGGAACAGAGAGTTTATAATAGCCATAGCCTGTCTTCAAAAGGTGAATCTGCAGTGTTCTAAGTAATCATTACATAAGTCACTAAAGAAAGATAAACATGTCCTCATCATGAGGAAGAAATCATTCCAAGGGCAATATAAGTATCTATCTACCAGTTTTCAGTCATGCTTCTTATTTTCTTCCAAGACTTTCTGTGCAGATTTTTCACAACTGCTTTAGCATCTACTTTTCTCTAAATTTCAAAAGCTCCTGAAAAAAGCTTTCAGAGGAAGACTTGGTCTCATAATAAAGAAAAATACAGATTCTTTGGTTTGTCCAACTTTGTTTGATTCTAGAAAGATTTAATATAGAACTAGCCCCCAGCTTTAAAAAGAGCTGGAGTGCAGGATGCTCTGCATCCAGGGCACAGGGAGTGAAGAGGCTGTCAGTCAGAGTTGTTCTGTGCCCGTGTGTTTTATACAGCTGAGCTGCAGCTTCACTATCACTGAGGATGGCTGTGGCTTCTTGTTCACATAATTCTGAAATAAGCTGGTTGGCACATATTTCTGGGTTGGGTTGCTTGGGATAGCTGGGAAAAATATGTTGTGCCAGGCTCAGAGGAAGCGATGTTGAGCAAAGGCTCTGAATTCTTGCAATTAAATTATGTTGCATGAGAAAATACTGAACAGCGGAGAGTTGTGTTTTTCAGGAAAAATTACACAATCTTTTTAAAGTTACAGGCTCCTTCTTCCTCTGAGGAGCTAGTGGTTATAAGCTGAACAACCTTTTGCATTGCTTTCCTCCTCAGAAATTTAAATTCAGTTTAAGACTAAGTGAGCATGTTTTTGTGTCATAGAATCATAGAATGGCCTGGGTTGAAAAGGACCATGATGATCACCTAGTTTCAACCCCCCTGCAACAGGCAGAGTCTCCAACTACTAGAACTACTTACACTTCATTTTTTCGTAGGGGTTCGTATGAATTTTGAAGACTGTCTTCATTACATACCATGTACTGGAAACTGTCAGCAACCTGCTAATAAATGCTTCTTTCCTTTTCTTCTTAAAGGTGTAATTTATCATTCCACATTATTAGAAAGCAGGAAGGTTGGGAGAAACAGCAACACATATAGGTTGAGGATTCGGAAGATTAAAAATGTTCTTATTGGTTGTGTTTCCAATTTTCAGGAATTCTTTGAACATGCGAAAAAGCTCTGGGATGATGAAGGCGTGAAAGCATGCTTCGAGAGGTCAAACGAGTATCAACTGATTGACTGTGCGCAGTAGTAAGTGTTTCTTTTTATTGATTTAATAGCCAAACATGTAATTGTCTATGAAGCTTAAAAATATATTTGCATTTGCAAGATCTAGGAGTTTTGGAATGCAGCAGTTAAAGTTCTAATTCTAATTGCTGGTTTTATGATAGTCTGTCTTTTTCGTACAACTAAATCTTCTGCTTCTGATATTTAACAGTTTACAAAAGCTACTGTGAAAGAAAATATCAAATTAAAGAGTTTTAAATATCTGTATTATTTGAAATAGATACGCACAGAATCATTTTGATTTAAATGATTCAGCTTTAAAAATTCAAAACCAATATAAGGAAAATGCTGTGTTTTAAATTCTGTGACTCAGGCAGTGCTTGAAAATAGCTGTTTTTCTTTACATTTCATTAAAACTTCTCTACTTTTTACCAAACAAGATGCATACCTGCATTACGATTGCATCTCTAATGTATACTCTGGGAAAAAAATGATAAGCAGTATTTCAGTAAAATTAGTATTATGTTTGTTTTTCTCACCTTCATATACATAAAGTCAAGCAGTACATTTGTGTGTAACGCAGTAGAGACCCCTAGTCAGGTTTGTGTGACTACTAATGTTCTGAGAAGAAATGTGTAGAAGATTGTGAAGGTGCAAATCATAAATACATAGTAATTGATGAAAGTAGATTAGTCAGGAAGTAGTATATTAACATGCCAGGACTACAGCACTCTGCTGTCCTGGCAATAACTCAGCTCTGAGTTAGACTTCAACCAAAAATACACATTTCATGTGAATAGCTATTGTGAAAATGTATACTCTTAGAGTTGCTATGTGATTTAGGGTTTTCAGAGAACACACTCCAGTGTGTTATGATTTGTCTAATTGGCAGTATGGTCAGTAACAATACCACAAGTCTGTTGTAGCACTCAGCGTTTTGTTTTTCTGTCCTCTGCTCCCAATGCCTAAACTCAGGCAGAGAAAATGGCCTGTGTAGCTAAAGGAATTGTTGCACTCCTGCCACAATGGGGAATTTTGGGGCTGTGGAGAGTATTTTCTTTTCCCTCGTTCCAGACTATTTTGGGAAAAGAGAAGGATCAAGTGATGATTCATCAGCACATGGAAGCAAGGGAAAAATGCATATGTGTAGGAAGGAACTCATTTGACTTCAATGGATTAAGTTTACCAAAGCTTGGGTGTTAGCCTGGCAATGGTCAAGATTGACAGTGGTTCCGTATAATGATAATAATAATAATAATAATAATAATAATAAAAAAACACACAGAAAGTTGTCCTGAGTTGTAATCAGTGGGTCTTTCCTTTGCCATTGCCCGCTGCCTCCATGGTACAGAACTGTGCTATGCTTGCTGAAAAGTCCGGGTTGACTTTTTGTGCTGTCTATTAATACGCTCAAGTAATATCTCAGAACAATAAAATCAAATAGTGACATATATTTAAGGTAAATGGATATAAAGCTTACTGTACTGATCAGTAAAGACCCATATGGCTCCCAGTCTTTGGAAAAAGAGCCTTAAAGAACCAGCCAAAGACGCTGTGGGGTTTTTTTGGTACTGTGTTTTCCCTTTGAAATGTTGCTTAACTACAAATATTGACAAGAAGGTTAAGTCTCGTGGCCTGTTCAAAAACAAAACACAAATTCTGAAAAAAGTGGATTTAGAGTGAAGTCCACTGTTCTGAAACATAAAATTAAATTCTTTTTTTTTTTTTTTTTTTCTAAAAGCTTGAAGTAAGATAGTTGTTGTTTTTTTTTTCTATGTATCTTCTCCACCTCTTTCAAATGACTTTCTTTTGGTGGAGTCATTCATTGTAGTAGTAAGCAGAAGACTTGCATAATTTTCTACCTTCAAGATGATTTATGAAGTAGTGTTTAATATTTAAATATTCCTTAAGAATATTTGTGCTTTACATTTGTGATATACCTGAAAATGTGGCAGTTAAGCAACGTAACCACATTTTCAAACCTTCACTCTTGGCACAGAGACTTGAAACTCAGGAGTACTTGTGTCACTGACCTGACCAAACAGCCCTTTCTCCTGGTGCTGATAGCTGCCCCTCCATCATTTCTTAAAAATTAAAATGGTACTAGGATAGTCAGTGAAAGAGATTGTAAAGCCATCATGTATTTGCTGCATGCTTGTGATTGTATGTTGTACAGCAGTAGTTGCTTTACCCAAAAGAATATCTTTGGGCTCTGGATCGCATTCAGAGTGGTGGAGTGATGTTAGCCTTTTTGCTGAAGCACATGAGAGAAGTGTAGGTTAGAAATACAGTTCTCATGTGCAATACTGTTTGGGCATGTGCACACACAGAATGGTGACAGTGAGGATGCTGACCTTCTCGTTCAGTGGGACGGGATGATATAACTTTTATAACCTGTCCATAGTATTTAATGAGTGGGGAAGGAAAAGAAAAAGAAAGAAGTGGGCAAGGAAGGTAATGCTGATACACATGCTTACTTGTGGGATTTTTAAGCATCTCCATTGTTTTCATCACACAGACTATGGGAGAAAGCATCTCAGACTCTTAGCTAAATCCCAGTCTTTTACCTCTTGTCACAGGAAGAAATTTTTATCAGTAAGTTACCACTAATTTCTTGGCTTTAAAAACAGCAAAACCAAAAAAGTCCCAGCTTGCATTAAAAAATACATTTGGATTATAAATTGGATTGCTGACTTAAAATACTGAAAAGTTTACTAGCATATATCATAGTCAGTGACACAACTTGGTGACTGTTAAGTGTGTTACAAATTCATTGTATTTTAAAATGGTTTAATTTGGCTATGATACGGAGCTTCTGTGTTTTTAAAGCTTAACATAATTTTCTTTGTTGCTCTGGGAGAAATACATTGCTGGACAGAGAGGTACTAAAAGGACACAAAGACAGATTCTTTATTTACATTGGGCCTGAAAGTTGCTTTTCCTTGATCTTTAATGCCTCTTTAAATTACCAAGATCCTGGTCCTCCATGGAAATGAAAGTCAGTGCCAGTGTCAGTGCTTCTCAGGCCATTTTAGTATTCTGACATGACTGCTCCATACATCTACACTATTTATTGTCATACTACTACCTGATATGGTATATGCAGCAAATGTGAAACTGTGACCCAGGAGACCTTGTGCTCTAACAAGAGTAGATAGATCGTAAGCAAAGATCTGAGTTGTTCTTCTTTACTGACTACAAGTGTATTTAAGTTACTCTTGGAGGGGAGCACTACTGTCAAACTTATTTTTCCTTAATGACCTTCACATACTTATTTCTTCTTGATTGATACTGTAACAGTGGCAGGTTATTGTTTGCCTTGTCTTCCGCTTCAGTATTCCTTTCAAGTTAAATTTCAAGATTACTTTAATTTTGAAAGTTGATTTTGTTTTGTTAGACTAAGATCCAGCTTACCTAGATTTCAGTGGGTTGGTTTTGTCTGTGATAACTCTTTTGTCTTACCTCAATTAACTTCAACTTATTTAAAACTACTGTGATTTGGTAAATATTCACAAACTTTATATTCAGCAAATTCTAGCTTTGTAAGGGATTTTCAGATTGTGCATGATTTAGTGCTGTGTTGGCACTGAACTGTTTGGTATGTATACTGTAGACCAGAGTATCTTCACAAAATATTTCATGTCATTCTGGAATAGTTTCCTAAAAACTGAATAGTTTTCTGTAAGATTAATGCAAATCCATCTTTAAATATTTTATCTTCTGCATACTTGTTATTGAAAAACCAAATTTTATTTTATCTGTGCAAGAGAACTGCAGAGCAAACTGCCTTGAATATAGGAGTGATCAACAGAAGTAAAGGTATAGTTGTGATGACCTTCATTTACAAAAAGAAAAGTTGATGAGTTTATTATTAAATTTGTTTGCATCTTCTGAGAATGTTAATTGCTGAGCTTATGAAGAAATATAAAATTTTCTTTTTCAAAAGCATGCCTTGCAGTAGAGTTGTAGGTTTTTGTTACCTATTTGTTATACATTATACATGCAAGAGAATGACTTCGTTCTAATGCTAGTGGTTCTACTTTTAAAGTCCTCTTTCTTCACTGTCAGCTGTACTGTGCATTAATTGGTGGCTTCTTTAGTAATCCAGGAAAAGCCGTTGAAGTTACTTTTGACTTAGAAACTTATGTATGGGCCCAATGATAGCAGTGAAGTTGAAGACTTCTGTGGAATTCTGTCTGCATTGGAAAATAGTGGGGTCTTCTGGTCTGGTGACATACATCTGTTGTCTTGCTAAAATAAGAGTTAAGTGATCTTGGTTACTCATGTCAGCTGCTCAGATGACTGGGTAAATTTGGTTGCAGAGACATGAGGTGTGGGGATACTTAGAGCACTTAGGCGATATCAGGGAAAGGTAGTGATTTGTAAAACAAAAGAGTAGGCAAGAAGTAGGGACAAAAAAAACACAAAAGCAGAAAATCTGGTTATCTTCCTAGGTCGCATACAGTTTGCTCATGGCATCTTTGTTAAGAAAAAATAACCACTCTTAGATTTATTAGAGGGTTCAAGAATTTAGTTTTATCTCATTGCATTCACACAAAATAACAGCGTGTGTGTGTATGTGGGCACGCAGGTGGCTGTAGCTGGAAAGGTTGTATGTACTTCTGTTTGCTGTGTTCCTCTGTTTAAGAACTAAACCAGGAGATTAAGAGAATACTGCTCTGAGCCAGTAGTTTACCCCAGTTTGCTCACTGATCTTCTTTACCTTATAAAAGATATTCTTGAGTGTGAAGGCCTAGATTGGTCTCTATGCAAACGTTTGTGCTAATGAAACTTGATTATACAAGTTCTCAGACAAGCAAACACAAGGGATGTGAGCTTGGCCAAAGAAAATTGATTTTATATTTGAGCTAATATACATGCAAAGGATACATCTCACGTTCTTTTTTCTTTGTTTGTTTTTTGTAATTATTCTGTCTTTGAGAATGGTTTCAGCCAACTTTTGGGGCATCTATCCAGGCATTAGATGAAGTAATTAAAGAAAAAGATTGAGTTGTTGTTCATAG